TCTCATTTTCTCTCCAAGTCTAAATAGTAAACGTAAATGTTGTGTGTGAGTGGGCAATTTTTGGCTCACAGCACCCATCGGTTTTTCCCACCATCATACGTTGTATCCACCCTTACCGACCAATTTCGTAAAATTGACTGCACCACGGGCACCCCATTCCTCGCTATATACTGTCACAAAACGCTTCTCATAAACCCTTTCCGACTTCGTTTACCTCGGACCTGTTCAGCAATTTCCGCTTCTCTGCTCTCGTCTCCTCTGTAGCCCCGCTTATCTTGGTGGCCTGATGTTAGCCCGTTCTACTCCAAATCAACTGAAATTCGCACCATGTTCCTGGAAACGCTCAACCGAGTCAACCACAATCCGCCGCTTCGGATTGCTCAGGTTAGCGCGTACCATTCGATTTTTGCAGCGTGAAATCTAGGCCTAAGTCAAAGTAGACTTTCCACTTGAAGAGGTTGCATCCGGCTGGCAAATTCTATCGTCATACTTAGTTTTGTTCAAGACGCAGACTCTTGGTGTCTTTCCTTGACAATCGCCATATAAACGTTAGAGCGTGTACTCAGGCCTTCGTTCGGATCGTTACAAATTGTTTATTGTCTTAAGTTTAAGACATTTTCATGTTGACCCATCATTTTTCCCACCTCACTGAGTGAGAACTGTCAATTAATTACCTGCGTTTCTCCCTGTTATCCTTCCTCTCTTTCTTGCTTTTTTTCTCAACCAGTGCTTGACGTTTCGGGATAAAATGAACCTGAAAAACAAAGATAAGACGGAAGATAGCCTCATGGGCAAGTACAACCTGCTGTTGAACATGGTTCGTCTGATCAACGCGAATCCACTGCTAATGCTTTACGTAAGTTGTTGGTCTATAGTTACTGTGCCGGTTGGATTCAAGGTCTCTCACTTACCACGCTTGATTCCCCTTCCTCCTAGCGAAGGTACATGGAAGAGAGCATATGGTACCATTGCTGGGAAAATCAATTATTATTGTTTACGGGTTAACAACACAGAGGATAACTACTACTTCACATCCTATCCGCTCTTAGATGTCCTGCGTTGGTATGAACTAAAAAGGAAAAGTTTGGCCCGACCCGACCGGTCCTAATTTGTGATTGAGAAAAGTGGCCTCTTCCGGAAACAGTGCGTTTTGACTACTGTTGCCTAAGAAGATTAATAAAAGTTCATTATCTGGAGAAGGCGTCGCGTAGCGTAACCTATTACACCTACTTCATGTCCATCAACGACGACGTCTTTAATGGTATGGAGACCTATTACTCCGGAGCAGTGCTGAAATTTCTCAACAAACCTTAACCTCCATATCACGTCAGTGGTGACGTTGTCACCTCGAAGGATAACTGAAGACAAGGGTTGTTGCCGTCAAAGTCCACATGGACCAGCTTGATAGCCATGTGGTTCTGAAACTGATTCTGGGTCGCGATTTGAGCAGATCCGTCTGTCTTTCGTAGGAGGCGGCCCTCCAAGACATCCCTACAGGCGACTCATCGTGATTCAGGGGACAGTCGCTTAGAAACGTAGCAGTAATGGTGCGAGCTAAGCTCTAAATCGATTCAGTGAGGCATATTTTCCGTACTCAAATATACTCTGAAACACTGTCTTCCCAAGGTCTTATGCTTCCCGATTGTACCTTCTTGGCATCGGCTCACATAAACATGCGTAGCCACTGATCTGCCATTTCTAACACACACACTCGATGGTCATCGGGTTGTTTCAGCAGCACTGCGAACAACTGCAAGTAGCAATTCTGCCCTCAGTTGTGCCGTTGCAGATGGCCGTACGTCATTTTACACTATCTTTTGGATATGCAGTTAGACTGTACGACCGGAAAGCGCAGCATGCGGTGGGCATGCTTCGATACGATTCAAGACTGGTGATTTGGAAGTACAAGTCGTCCAGCATAACAAGGTTACAAACAGCTTTTAGTGAGTGAAGTTAATGACCGGACACTGTTCAAATCTCCCAGAGAACATGCTATTCGATGGCGAAAAACTCCTGTTTATTTTTTTGGAAAATAATACACACCAGTACTACGCTGTCCCTCCTCATACTCAAAGGATTACATAGTTGTTATATCAGTATGTATTTTTAGGCCCAGCACCAACGTGGCGCAGACACGCAGTCGGTGGCACCATTTCCTTCAGACTGGTCCCATCAAAGCACGGTGTTTTGGGGTTTTTTACGATCTACGTATTTTTCAGAAGACATCATTATATGAGAAAATTTAGCTCTTCCTGAATACTGTCTACCGCTGATTTCCACTGTCAATGGTGTGACCATGAATCATCATTGACAGCAGTATACCCTATATGGTCAACTGTCTTGGTGTCCTTGAATGGTCGACTGCTATTCTGTTCTCCCCATCGTCTCTCACATTTCTTTTTGTACGCGACCCTTCTAAATTCACTATTTTTTTCTTGGTTTCGTCAGATTCCCGTTGTATTCCCTCTAGATTGGGTTCTATCAAAAACTGCCGGGACACTTTATCTCTACGTCACCTGCTTCACTGTTGTTGATATAAAATTAAGATATAAGCTTGAATTCCATATAAGGTGCACTTTATTTCACGGATAAACACTGAGATGTGATACCAGTGACAGCTTATCCCTCTGGAAAGACCGCCAGCGGCCGTGGCCGGAGTTTTTATAGTGCTTATCAGTTGAGCAACGGTACCGAGTTTCGTCACAAAGTGAACTTATGCGAGAAAGATCTGTTAGAAACAGGGAGAATCGGACACAAAGACACCAGCGGTTATGTTTATCGCCTCTGCTTTACTCGTATGAATAATACGAAATATTCACTACACTTTCCATCACGCAGAATCATCCGCATAAAGCGCAGAACTCCCAGCTGCGTAATTCTTCCAACCATAACATACGGAGCCAGGCATCCTCCCTAAGCCGTCCGATCTGAGCTAAATTCTCTTGTTCAGTTCTCTCTGCTTTCTACTTTCCCCTTCACTCCCGCATGTTGCATGAGGAACATGTTCAGTACAGAGTAAGAAGATCCTACTCTCTTTGACTCTTGCTTGAAGTTTTGATCATTTTCCTTGGAAACATTCTGTTATCTACCGATGCCTTTGGCTTCATTCTATCTGCCCCCATCCACTAGTGTCCACAGAGTCGTCCGAGTACAGATGCACAAAAGGCTACGTTTGAATTGATGAATGGTCTCATGTCTCTAATTCAACAATCTACCATGACCGAACTAGCTCAAGAGGCCATGGATGCCTTACTGTGTCTGCATCAGCCGGCCAATATCCGCTTGTGGAACCTACACTCACCAGCTCAAGCCTTTTGGGAGATCAGGTAAGTTTTCTAGGTTGTCTGTAGATCGTTGCATGATATTCATCTGCTTTTTTCGGATAGTCTTATAGTGCACCCCATTGAATCATTTATTTCCCTCAGCCTAGTTTTCGAGGTTCACCAATTCCACGAGGGGGCACTAGTGGCATGTCTACACGCCAGTTTCAACACTGGTCGTTGTTCACAGTTTATATTGAATGTTCCTTTGATGGCTCATCTTTCCTTTGGTAACAGGAGGTGCTTGCTTTCAAATACGTGAATTTTGAATGCCGATCCGTTATTTCACATGCGCGTAGATCTCAGCTTATCGTGACAAGTTATTTCCGTGAGATTCCTCTGTCATATAGCGTAGATAACGCCACCTCTCCATCGTTAACTTTGCCAAGTGTATATGGTCCGGTGTTAAACTCAGCGGATCTTAGTTGGATTAACATCACTCCGCTTGCCATCGTAGTGTTGAAAAGGGTATTGGTAAGAATCTGGGTTGTACTCTTCTGATTTTCGATGTTCTCGCACGTAAACCAATTGTGACTGCCTGGAACCTTTTTAAAGCCATCCTCCGCTGTTCCACTTGGTGTACCAGTACCAGTACCACTTCAAAAAATCCCTTCCTCTGTGTGCTGTCCGAGTAATTAACACCTTGCCGCTTTTCTGCAGTCCACAGCTTCTTTACAGCATCGCCCAGAAACTGATCAACCGGAACATACCCAACTCTTGCGATGTGCTGAAGTGGCTGCGCGAGATCCTCATTTGCCGAGTTAATTTCCTACAACAAAACTGTGACTGCATCAACTTCCCTGGCTCGGCACCTGGAGCGAATAAAAGTGATACGCCTACTTCCGGTGGTGATGCTGGCTTTTCTCTCACTGAACCAAACATCCCACCTTGTACCAAAACTTCTCCTGTGATGCAGGCTACATCTTGCGGTGCAGCTGCAACTAGCGCTGAAGGTGAATAGCTTGTCCTTCGTTCTGTTTTACTGTTTACTTCTTAAGCAGCGAAAATAGAAACTGTGCAATAGAATATTAAAGCTCACCAAAACTGAGGATAGATCGGCCTAATTAACGCGCCCTACTCAGTAGTATTCGTTATTCCGAACTCGATTCCACTAGAGTCTTGAACTTCTTTTGTAAATGATATTTTTATATCATTGAGCTACATAGCTGCTAAACAACCCACAAGGGTTCGAGATAGCTCAGTTGTTGAGGCATGAGCTACTAATCTTGACCTATCGATTTTTTCCTGCCTAAGCATGCGCAACTAGAGGGTATCTACAGCTTACATGATGAGCGTGCCCTGAAGCGGTGTCACGGCTGGACGGTGTGAATACTGGCAAGCTGCTCAAACATGCACAGGAACATTTGGAAAGCCGGGACTGGATTCGACTCGCTTACTTGTCATTCAGGGGCTCGCATCCTGATATCTGAGTTGACATGCTCTTGTACTGTGTCCGCAGGCATCGCCACTGTACTGGAGACTGCTGTATACTGATTGGTGACCATATTTTGTTCCACATCATCTACCTTTTCTATCAGTTCCTCAGCTATTAATGTGTCACAGCCATCGCACTGTTCACCACTCTAACAGATAATAAAGTCATTTAATTTTCATGCATGCCTCTGATGTGTATGTGCGAACTAAAAGTATATTCGCTCTGTCCGTTAATCTGGATATAAGTTTTCAAAAGCACTGGCTATAACCATTATGCAGACAGGAGAAGCAACCGACTGTCATAGTGATGGTATAGGGTATTTCAGCTTGCACATTCAGTGTGCTTCTGGTCGCTTCTACGGTCAATTTTGGTATTCCCATCTCCTTCCAGCGTGCCAGGCCTTTACAGTTCCGTCCAAGCAGAGCGGGCCAGACACAGCTGGAATCTCCTCTCAGTCGGCGTCCACAACTGAGTTAAATCCCCTTCTCGGACCACTTAGTGTGAATTCCAAGCGCAACCGTATGGCTCTGATCAAATTGGAAACCGTATTTTTCACCTATCTGTGGTCACTAGACTTAGAGGCCGTACTTACATCCATGTCCTGCTTTCGCCTCCTGTGTCAGGAAGCAGAACTTTGGAGCAATGCTGCCGCGGCTGCCGTATTTGCTTCTCTATCTGACGCTGACAGGAGTGCTTTACTTGGATGTGACTTTTGTCCTTCATTGTCGTTTCCACGCTCTGGATTTTCAGACTGGGACAGTAAGAGTGGCCTGGTACAATCAAACTCTGGATTAACTTCAGGGTCCGCTGATGTGGAAGTAAAAACTAATGATTTGTTAAGACAGTTCTCTCCACCACAAATGTCTGACAAGCTTTCGGCCACGTTTTCCTATGCATCACCTCGAAGTTCTCAACGTGGAATTCGACAAACAGACAGTGGACGAAATCGGGGCCAATCTTCCGGACCCTGTATCGCTTTGTGTAGTTGTGGTTGTCCTTTGTGCACCCCGTCCTATTTACCCGTTTGTACGCCTGGAGAGGACCATTCAGGGACCGACAGCTTTCTGCGAGACGTAACTTTTTGCAGCACAGACAACGATAACAAAGATTATCTGTTTCCAAGCTGCTCTGATGGGTCCTCCGCATCTCCAACCCACTCAGCACTCGGCAAAACTGGGACTTGTTTTCCGACAATGGCACAGCTGCCCTTCACCGAATGCGGGTTACCAGATCTCCTACCTGTATACAGTGTGTATGCTGAGATTGCGGATCACAGCCGGTCGATTGTTACCACTGGTCGTGCGCATCTCCAGAAGCAAATATGGTGTCTACTACGAAAAGTCAATCACCAGACTCAGGGAAACAAACTTGTAAGTAACTACTTATTCCTGTTTCTGTTGACTCATTCGAATCACTACAGTTTATTGATTGATGTTTCATCCGTTTGGTTGCCAAGTTAGTTCTGGTCAAATTTATACTCCAGTGCTGACTGCCCGGTCAGTGTCTGTCATTATATTTGACCGCTGTTTCATGCTGACACTGTAAACAAGAGTTGTTCCTTGCAGTAAAAGTTGTGCATACATTGTGTACTGAAGGCACGGGTACAACATTCTAGGAGAGCGCCTACTCCCTTTGAACAAATCGACTTCACCAAATGTTCCTGTAATACTGTCTCCTACATCTTACGTGTCTTCTTCGGATTGGTCTTGGAGCTCGTTTTGGACTCGATGGTTTAAAGAAGCCTTCCCGCTTCAACATGGAAACTCTGTCCAATTCGTGACGAGGCTAAATGTGGGTGTGCCCATCAAGCCTTCTAACAGCACCTTTCGTACCGAATAAGGTGACTTATTATGAGGCATAGTATCTGGTCCACTAAAAGGTTCATTGTGGAATTTTGGAGTGCAATTTTCGATACTCGATCGGAAGAGTGAAATAGTTTACTTACGCTCTCAATTTCTTGCCGGAAAGTAAGCTGATCGTTGGAGCACTTTTGTTGGGGCTCGTTTGTTTTCCCCATCGAACAACTCATTATACTACATGTGGCATTACCAAATCCTACTTCAAGGTACCTATACCCCTAAGGTCACCTTCAAATAACTTTAATCAAACGTTAATTCAAATAAGGTCTTGCATGTTGCACTGTATCTCACTGTTTAACTCTCCCTCATAGTTTGTGTTTTATTTTTCTTTTAGTCTTGGGAGCACACCTATATGATTTGGTTGCGAAGCACAAAGTTCCTCATAAACTACCCAAAATCAAAAGTTTCTGGATCCGCTTCAACAACTGATGATAGCTGCTACGATGTAGCCACCAACCACCCAACATCGAGTGTCGGTACTTCTAGTCTGAGCTCAAATGTTGGGTCAAGTGGAGTTCTCGGTGATTCTTCGTCAATCGCGACTGAACTGGATTCAATAACCATTCCCGCTGAATATACCAGGGAAGGTAGTGCCCCGGTTTCTGGTGCCACAGGCAGCTTGTATGCGAGTGCAGCTTCATTGTTAGGTAGCGCTGGAATCGGGCTTGTGGGTTCTTCGATGAACGGATATTCTGGTGCGAGTGTGTCGAACACAACTCGGTACTTGGCGGTCAAACGTCGCGTGAGTCAGCAATCTACCGCTACTGATCACGAAATTGAGGATGTCCTGAACGAATGGGCCAACATGACAGGATTTTTATGCGCTCTAGGCTCGGTGGCTCTGAGTTCGACTTCGACTCAGCCTTCAAATCTCTCTGTCCCTCCTGTGAATAGCAGTCACTATTGCGTAAGTTCACATTAGCGCTTCAGTCTGTTTGCCCCTTGTTGTTCGTCCGCGTTGTATGTGCGGCTCTCACTTCTTACTTACATCGGTAGCCTTATTGCTCTAGGACTGACCGTTTTGCTCGCCCTGCATCACACTCAGCTGCAGCTTCTGGAAGTCCGAGTTCAGTTACAACCCTAAACACTTCGAAGTCTGTTTTCAAACCCCGAAAGCCTGCCTACTT